AATGAATGTATGATATTTTCAAACTGTTTTAAGCTTTTGAAACTATTTAAGCTTTTGACTTAAACTTCAAACATTCTGCAACATTTTATAGACATTTTCCTTACTTCAATAAATATGTATGTTAAATAGAAAAGAATCATAGGAAATAATTCTGTACCCACTTTTGTTAAATAGAAGTAATATATTGATAGTACATAATAAACCATCTCTTTTATGCTTTATCTTATTTTGGTAAGGCAAAAGGTCCTTGTTTCTACCATTTCATAATGAGATTTCATTTGAGGGTAGTGTCCTCATTTACCAATACACCCAGGATCAGCCAATCCATTAAAATAACCAGAAGCAGGTTCCTGACTGTTACTGTTTTAACTTGTATATAAAATAGCTGTTTTTATAAAAAAAACTGAAGATGTTTGAATTTTTACAGTACAATTATAAAAGGAAAAGACTCACTGAGAATTCACAAGTTTAAAAAAAATCAGGAAAAATATGCAATTTTAAGGAAATTAAGTTTGGTATTCACTTTTTCTTTTTCAGCATTTTAAAGGTTAATTGTGTTCTTCTTACTTGTTACTTCATTTTTTGGTTATGATGCACAGTACAAGAACCAGCTGCTGCTGTAGAATAAATGGCCAATTGTGTCCATTGTACACAAATTTGTAACAAATAACTGAGCAGGGAATGCATTAGGCAACATTCATAATATATAACCCACAGCTTTCATTTTTATGATTTAGTGATATTTCAGGATATTTGTAAATGTGAAGATTGTTTCTGCCATATGTAGCCACTTCATTTTAATTTGCCAGTGTCAGTAATTCAGGAGAATAAAGGAACATTTTGTATTGCATGCAAACAGATCCTCAGGTGCTTGCGATAAAACTTAATGGCCACCATCTTTACTTGTAGTCATTGTAAGCAGTTTCATCAGAATGGGCAATATTTTTTAATTTAAAAGATTCAGGAGATTTAGCAAGTCTCTATTGCCATATATATTTAGAACACTGATTTTGTCAGTTTTGAGCTTATAAATCTTAGTCCTTTGATCCCCAATCATTTTGACAAGATGGAAAATAGCATCTTGGAGTAAATTGGAACCATATAGAAATATGTTTGGGATTTATATTAACAATGATTGCTGCAGGGATGAGGCCATTATGGCTCCCATCTGACAAACAACATAATTTCATGTAGAAGCTACTGGGGGATAACATTATGCATGCATGTTTTTTTCTAAACAAGCTGGGTTTCTTGAATTTTGATAGCAGGAAGTCATGTATATGTCTGGATTTGCAAGAAAAAATCTTAAACTTACACATCTTCAAAATAGACTGGCAAATTAATTACAAATGAAGGATTTCTTTATTAAAACACCAAATGTGTTTATTGTGTATATTTTCTGCCTTGAAAAGGTACAGTAGTATTTCTAATTCACTGTAGATCTTGAGGTACTTAGGATTACCTTCATAATAAAAGATGTTGTAGTAAAACTAATTTACCAAGAAACAACACATAACAGAGTATGTAAGATGCCAACATGCTTATCGATATTAAAAAAGAAGCCTGTGTTTTTAAAGAAAATATAAAGAAATGGCGAGAAGGAAGATATAAAGAGCTGGTATTTTTTTGTGAAGACCTCTATCATCTTACAAAAACAATATTTATCTACTCTTATGATTAGTTTAGTGGGTAGTATGTTATGGGAGGAACTTGGTAGATGAAGAATGTATGTATATATCAGAAAAAATATAAATACACAAAACCCTTCTGTGTAAGTGTTATGAGTTGGGTACTGTGCCAACATTAACCTTCCCAATACTTCTGAGGGGGAAATAATTAATATGATGTTGGAAAAATGGACAGGTTCAGTGACATGTTCAAGGAAGAACCAATTAAGATCAGTTAATATGTTTGCAGTAGTGGTCTGCATAGGACTTATTTGACATATTAAACTAACAGAGGCTTAACTGGGTTCTGGGTGGCAGTCACCGATGGGGCAGTGTCAATGGCTGTGCTGCCAGCAATGTGCGGCAGCCAGGCCGGCAGCGCAACCGCTGTGGTTTTTGTGCGTGTACATGTACATGCTTACGTGTCTCTCTTGCTCACTTTCTTACACACACCAGGGTCAGTGCTGGGACTGCTGCCTTGGTCATCCCTGCTTCATTATACTACTGGAAACTAAAAGTTATGCCTTGTGTTTTAAGAACCATTGAATAGTTTAAAATCCCATGTAGTGTAGAAAAAGCCAGAAGAGATGATTAGAATATTCCTGCAGTGTTAAGTGTTGTACACTGCTGAGATGCAGTTAATTTATACCATATATGCATGGCGTTAGCAGTTTACTCTGCAGCTCATGATACACTCAAAAAGGCACAGGCAACCAGTGGCTTTGCAGAATATTTTTGTTAGCTGTTGAAGGAACTTTTGAATGTAGGATTCATTTTTGCTTCACACAGAGTAAATAGTGCAAGTACTTAGGTCACTCTTTTTGTTCTCAAACTATTTGTAGCTAGCATTTTTTATCATTTACTTTAAATATCCTCAGCCTGCTTTTTGGGAGGGTCCCAAGAAATGATCATGACTTAGAAACCAGAAAGGCAAAAAGGAAAATTGGTGAATTTCATGAGGCTGGATGGAACAATATCTGAGTAATTACTTGATTGTAAACTTGGGGTCTTCCCAAGTAAGCATGCTACTGAGCAAGCCCTTATACAAGGGACAGACATTACACATAAACAGGTTTAAGTGATCAGAAACTGGATTAAAGCTGTAACAGGACAGATGTTCAGTGCACATAAACCAGTTTGAAAATGACTGAAACCGGTTTGAGATGAACCTGGTTGAGTGTAGCATCAGACTTAACTGATTTGGGTCAAAACGGTTTATACAATGTCTGTCCCAGACCCCATGCTGGTTTAAGTTAAACTGGACACCCCCAGCATCCCAGCATGCTCTCTAGGTTGAGTGAGGCTCTCTGCTCCACAGCAGAGCTTGCCCCTTCCCTCTGCTCCCTGGCTGGAGTTGTGGCAGAGACTACAGGCATCTGCCTGGTTTCCCTCTGCTCTCCCCCTCCCCACTCCCTGCTAAGCAGGGATTGCCCCATCCCCTCTGCCTTACACAGACACCTCTCAGCATTAGCTAGCAAACCACATGCTGGCTGTGGTCTGTGCTGTGTCAGATGGGACAAAGGCAAAATCAGCAGGTAGCTGGTAATGTCCCTCTGTTGTTTTCTTAATGGGGTGATAAACACTTAGTTAGCAATTCCCTGCTGGGCTGGTGGGGGGGGGGGGGGAAACCCCCAATTAAAATGTCCTGCCATAGCCGGGCCATGGCCCCCTCATCTCAGCACTGTGGAAGGGAAGGGATCCCCGCAGCTCTAGCCTGAGTCACTGCAGGCATGTGCCTGCATTTCTGGAATGAAAAGGGAATGTCTATCCACCTCCAAATTGGTTCACGCTTTGCAGGTTAGAGTAACCTGCAAAGATTGAATCAAATCAGGATCAGGCTTTTTGAATGTCTGTCCCTAGCCTTAAAGACTAAAATTTAGACTATATAGGAGAAGCTTAAATGTTTTCTAGCCACCTCATCTCAGACCTGATTTCAGGAACATGCTTCCAAGTCTTTGCGGTCTTCAGGGTGGGAGGATAGATGTAAAATGGATTGTGAGGAATTGGTGGTCCTGTTTGTTTTCATAAATTTCCAGAACATTGCATTGAATCTTGCTGAAGACTAAAGTTTGCCCAAGTTAGTTGTAAAGAAGCAATTGTGTAATTGTAGTGGGGAACATCCCTAGCCAATTTCAGATGTCTGATCCTTTGTTTGCAGGCTGTTCAAGAAGGGGTAGTCTATTCACTGCTTTTCATCAGTACCCTAGTGACTGTATTGGTACATATGGTCTTGCATAGATACTTCCCCCACATTTCTATAGTTTTCCTGCACTAGCTGAACTATACCACTATACAGTAAGGGGCCAACCAAGACCTTAGCATTTGGAAAAACAGAAGTATTTTTGTTTTTTGGTCATACCACCTTCATGTTTCACCTAGTCCACAGATTGGATCCCTGAACTGTGACAACAGGGCACTTATAAAGTTAGTTATCCAGTAGAAAGGTGCATCACAATGCAATTCTGGCTCTTGTAAAATCTAGAAATATTCCATCTCCATTTCCTACTTCTGATTTAAGAAATGAGTTTCCTTTGGTGAAGAGTAATTTTTAGCTGTACCGTATATCCATAGAGTAGAATATTTTGTTCTTCCAAAAGCAGATTTTAAACCCAGTTGTTGGTTATTTGAAATGCTATGCTTGCAAACTTGGACTCTCAAGGAAATTGAACATAGCTACCCTCTGGGAAGCTTCTCATTTCCAGATATTTTCTTTATAGTCTTGCTGAGGATTAAATTACTAGTTGTATGTAAAGTTATCTCATCCTAGTGTTATATCTGTGTATAATATGGAAATTAATACCTGCCTTGAGCTTCTCTTTCCTCTTTGGCATTGGAAAGTATCTGAATCATATGCTTTCATTTCTAGTTATCATATTTTGTTATCTTGTTTCATTTCTTGTTATCTGATTTGCTTATTGGTGTCAGTTATTCTCTTTAGCTTTAACTGGCTATTGTACAGTTCTTTTGTGTGTTCTTATAAACGTTCTTATATGCTTCTCTTTCATTGAATCATTGACTTCTCAGTTTTCACCAGATCCAGAACACTGAACACCCCTTTTCTGTGCCAGTGATACAGCTACATTCATTCCTCTCAGGGATTAAATGAATGAGAGTTATGTGTATATAGGGGGTAGCTGTAACATTGCCTGGGTCTCTCCCTTCTCTTCTAACAGATGAAGAACCTCTCCTTTCCCTTTGTGTGGCTTGCTAGCTGTTACACCTGCAGAAGACTCTTGCTACATAATGATATGAAGGAGGAGACATTTCTGGAACTGTCAGTGTTTTTGTCAATAGGTGGAGAAGTAGTAGCAGCAATAGACAGGAATGTCTGTGGGGAGAAAGGGAAAAACTAGCTCCCCTAGTTTTCCATTTAACTTTTTTTCAATGTTTTCATCTTCAAAAATGCAAGACAACGAAAAAATTCTTTTTTTTTCTGGGACAAGCTTTTAACATATTTATGTTTGTCATTTTTATTTGGTTTTATACTAATACAGAGTCTCACATTAGTGGACATGGGGAAGAAAATACCTACCAAGCAATGCACACTGAACACATGCCCATAAACTCTTTTTTTTTTCTTGGATGGTTATGTCTGTTTAGGGACATGAATGCTTTTCTTCTCATCTTAAGTTTCTTTATCTTATGCATCTTATTGCCATGTTGTCTTGAGGCATATATCAACATTCACCAGTCATGTAGCTTGTCTTCCTATTTTGATATTTATCTGAGTCTTGAAGATTGAAGGATCATTAAAAAAGATAAAAGTGTACATAAAAAGCATGATATCTAAGCGGGTAGGAGCTTTGTTATCTGTGTTCTAAAGGATCAGCCCAGTGCTTCTGGGATAGGGTTGATTCCATAAGAGGAATTGCTAACTTGTAGGCTGAGGCAGAGTTTCTTTGAAAAATTTGCAAGGCTGCCCTCTATTTGCACATCTGTCTGATCTTACTTT